GCGTTGATGGCAAAGCTATAGAAGTATTATGAGCACTTGACTAATCCATTATCAATGTTGGCACTAGCTCTCGCAATTGCGATTTCAAAGATATATGAATAAATAGATTCTATAATGACAAGTCTTTGAGATTTTTTTGAAAGTTTATGGTATCAAGGGCACATATGAACATGCTAACACTTGCACTTTTAAGATTAACATTTGAAGCATGCTTATTGCTGCCCTCAGAGCACAAGCTCTGATGTTTGATCAAACACTTAATGATATGATGTCTCATAAGATATCAAGATTTTTGTTTGCACTTCATCAAGACGACCAACGAATTATGCAAGTATGCAGGTGTGTGATGGACAAAAATTCACAGAAAATGCTTTTCGCGATCGTTGATCGTTGCATGCAACACGATTACGATCATGAACTTTTGGATGACTTTTGAGTCTGTTTTTTTTGGATAGCGGTGCTGTTGCCATTGCATAGTGCTCACGTTTGTGCAACAATTTCATCAAGATCACTATGAAGCTACGGTCATGGAATTGCCTGCTCAATGAAATTAATAGAAAAAAACTTGTAAGTTGGTAAACCAATGGCTAGCAGGTTAATAAAACATATAAGTAAAAACTATTAGTTGTGAGCATCTTTAAATAAAGCCAGTGATCTAAAATGAAAAAACTCTTTTTCCTTTTTCATATCTACAAATCACATCTATTCACAAAAAGTTGATTAAACAAACTAAAATTTAATAAAAACTAATGAAAAAAATATACAAATTTAACTTCATAATGTAATCAACGTTCATACAAGTAATATAATGAAAAAATAACTGCAACTTTGTCATTATGATGAGTGATTTGATTGGAAATATCTCATTGATCAACTTGTCTACTCCATACTTCAACATGATGTCGTAGATGAATGTTTCACACCGCAAACAAAATTAGTTGGATTTTTGCTCAAGTAATTCTTTCCTTAATTAACTCTAACTTCAAGATCTACAATTTTTTGAAGTAATGTCAGTCATTGATTGTAGACATGTGTAGCAATAATGTTGCATGTTCAAAGATAACTCTAAATTCATTAAACGGCTACTTGTAGAGAATTCTCTAAAGTTTTATTAGTGTATTTTTTTAATTTTTTTCTTCAACTTCATTTTTTTCTTATAGATTTTTGTCACATCAAATACTTAATTCAAATCAATTCCAAATTCAACATAGATATGCACTTATAACTAAAATTTGTAATTAAAAAGTTTTTTTTTGACAAAATGATTTTGTAGAAAAGGTTATATTTTTTGTTCAAACTTCCTTATAATCAATTCTAATCATGTATATTTGTATTAATTTTCAATGATCAAATCTTACCCAAATTGATCTTCTCAAAAATTAAATTCACAGAAAATCACATATTTTAAGTTTACTTTTGTTAATCTTTCATTATGAGCCAAAACATAATACTAAATGTATACTTCACCCTCATCTTTCAACCAAAACAGTCAAATGTATTTTAAAACTTATCCATTGACTTAAATATTGAGCATACTTCAAAGAACATATATTAAGAGTAATATTGATCACAATGTATTAGTCAAATATCCAATGACACTTTCATTATTGGCCAAAATGTATTACCAATTGAACACTTCAATTTTGATTATAAAAAACATTTTTAACATTTTAGAAAGCCAATTTTTTCTCAAATCTTAGTTCATTGATTTGAAATTTGAAATTTGAAATCAGCACAGAATGCACGTTTTAACATTGTCTAGATTCAAACTTAATGTCTAAACCCTTTTGATTGATTGGTTGTGTTGGTGACCATTCTAATTACTTTAAAATTTGATATGAAAATTTTTGTAGATGTAGCATACCCTATGTATGATGATGATGTTTGATATGAAACAATATAATATGGGAGGGGCTAGTCATCACTCACTTTGGGCTCATTGTACCTCATCCTACATAGGAGAGCTCTGTGATTGGTTAGAAATGCTTTCGATACCATAATGTGTTCGCGGCAAATGGGAAGGGGGAGATATAGTTCACAACATGGAAGCATTAGACTAGAGTGAGTGATAATTACACTAAAGTGAAGGATAACTAGACACTCTCTATAATATGTAGGTACATATACAACTCATGATGATGTTAGCCATCTCATAAATTAACCAAAACTTAAAATTTAATAATGTTATTGCTAGTTCATGAACATTTTAGAATTTTGAATGCTATGTATGAAGAAAAAAATTCGCTAAAATCAGATTTCAACCTTGGAATACAGTTTAAGCAATGTGCCATTCTATCATTGTTACAATAAACATTTGGAAATTGGTCTTCATGATTTTGAAAGTGCTCTGCTGGACAAGGATTGATGTGATTTTTGTAAGTCTCATAATTTGATTTTAAAGATATACGAAGTGAGAAATATTCAAAACTTCCATGTAAATAAACTGTTGACATGTGAGACTAACATGATTTAAGGTCGGATAGACTTGTCTACAGTAGTTTGTGGCATTTCGCTGGATTTTGCTATGGATTACATTATCATTGATATTTGGAGTACTTTTGTATCTTGTAGTCATGGTAAATGCCATGGAAAACATTTCCATGTTAATGAGGAAATGAGTCTACAATAAACACCGCTGAAAATGGGTGTTTTATAGGGGATGATGTAATGTAGTATGTGATCTATGCAAACATGCGTGTATTGTTTGCGTGTATGAGAAAATTATGATTTATTGTTATTGATTCAATCGTTTACAGGGACAATACAGGTTGGAAGTGAGGAGTAAGTATCCTTGTAAGTATCCTGTTTGTTTACAGGTTAACTTTAGTTGTAGTGGTCTATATTTGTGACTTTGTTTTCGTAATTCTGCTGTATCAATGGAGAGACCATGATCTAGATGCATAATGTACATGGGCTTTGAATAAACGTAAGTTGGAAGTATTCTATAGAAAATCTAATGGAAATCCTTCTAAAAGATAAAACTTAGAGCAGAGAGAATCCCGCAAATGTGTGGAGTAGTTTTAGGGCCGGCTTTTGATCACATAAGAGCATGTGCACAATAAAAGACGTTTGAACCTAGACCCATCCACAAGACATGACCATTTGTGTAGTATAAATCTGGGGGATCGTGCTGGCAGCGTAAGTCTAAATCCATATTGGAGATGATAGTTTGACTTTGCCACTTGACAGGCTGCAACATTGTCTTTAGTGAAGCTTCGGACTACCTGAAGAGACGTATCTAATAAACCTTCTCGATTGCTGCCTTCAATAACGATGTTGCTACAAGTGTTGTCGAATGGATGGTTCTTACACCCAAACTCGTTTCATCCGTCTGGAAGGAGTTGGCTTGATCTAAGTATGCACTTCCTTGTGAAGAATAACATGATCACATCTAGATCCTACAAATAGAACGTCCGCATTTAATATCCACCTGAAAGATATGATATTCTCTTTCGTTCAACACATACCAGCTTTTCTCCACGACTTCCTTCTGATGAATCCAGGTTTCGTGCTTCCGTCTGAGTTTTTAGTTTGAGTTTATTGGGCATCAGAAGCTAGCGGAGATAGAGTAATCAAAAGCTTAAGTTCACATGAAATCGAATTCTTGACCAATCCTCATATGTTGGTGTGATTCTTATAATGTCTACCTGAGTCTCGTACAATGGCATGTTAGGATTGAGTACTGCGCATCTTCTTTAACAAAGTGATTTGAGGCTGGAAGTTAGCTTAACGAGTAGCAAGTCGTGTATGGGATCACAGAAAAAATTTACATTTTTTCTGTTATGTGGCATGTAGCGATATACTTTTATGTACTGCAAGGCGGAGCTGGATGGAAAAAAAGGCAGAGCAAGATGTGCAAGTTGTCACGGAACAAAAGCACCGCAATAGGAACTGTATTTCGGTGCGACAATTCAGCAACTTCTAACAGCGGAATGTGACCAGCTGCGGAAATAGAAGTACAACCAGGAAGTAACAGGAAGCCCCACGTTCCAAGCTCAACAACTGTGCTGCAAACGGCAAACAGCAAACGGTTGTGGATCATAGCGTCAAAAGGTGTGATATGGAGAAGAATGTATTTATGGTTGGGCCCCAAGGAACGTGGGACGGGCATTAAAGCAAATGGGATGTTAAAAGGCAACGACGAACACTCCGTGGTCCTGAGAAGTTAGCTCACAGCCTTCAGGATTGCCAACATTGGTTTGGCCCACCAAGAGAGCTCTGCTAATGACACACCGCACCACGAGACATGGAAGACTGGAAGTACTAGTACAGCAAAAAGGTCTGAAAATTTGGAGTAGCTTCTAGTCGGACAGCAGAGAAGTATGCCAAATGTCAAGATATCTGCCGAGAGAGAGAACTTTTGCGTGCGGCCATGAGATGCGGCCATGACATGAAAGAGGAAAGAAAACGCATGCCATGTTCTGAAGTTCGAGTGCCACTCACTTCCTTCATGCGAACCGCGTGACCCTGGCCACTAGTGAGGAGCATGGCACAAGACAGCTGCATCGAGGACTGTAGAGAACGATTTTCGTTTGCAGAAATCAGGACTGACGTGTACGTTTCATATCACTGGCAATTCGATATTCGTGTTAGAGACACCCGATTCCCAGCTCCACCATTGTCGAGCATGATGATCACGGATACAACGCGGACGGATGGAACATTTCTCGTCGGTGGCGAATTCGAAGTCGATACCCTGCGCACGGCGTCGGCAGATTCCATCCGACCCGGAACTCATCGAACCGGCTTTCATCATGTCAACCGTACAGAGCAGAGCCAACCCGACGACTCGCAATCAAGCAGGGCGGTTACGAAGCATTGAATCTGTGCAGAGTAAGTACGAGAATTCAAACCAGACGTGAGATCGTAGACAGTGCAGTGGGTGCTGCTCAGTGTGTCCGGCATGGACACATTGCTCAGCAATGAAAACCCGCCCGATCTCCCCAAGGCCCCTTTTCGAGGACCGAAGCCAAGGCACGAGACAGGAAGGCGGAATTTTCTGTCAAAGGAATAACAAGAACTTATGTATTGACAGTACAGTAGCCCTTGCTTGAGTCGGCCACAGCTCGCGAGTGGGGCAGTGCATGTGGCCGCAGCAGGCAGATCTAGGGATGAAACGTCCCAACGTGGGGAAAAAATTGCCTGCCAGAAAATTGAACTTACGCTTAAATTTTTTATCCTAGCTACCTATCTCTCTACACTGATGACGACGACGACGACGACGACAATGCTACTGCTGCTCCTGAGAAGATTTATTCTCTGGCTTCCTACTCTTTATATACACAACATTTTAGCTCTCAAACAGAAGTTCTACTTCCTCCTGCTCCTCCTGCTCCTGCTCCTCTAACAGTACTACATTCCAAAAAAGTGATGTGGGTATTGCTACATCCATCTTACATTTGCTGCCCTGCTTTCGCTGCTGGTGTGGTTGAGGTTAACCGCCTTCGATTGATCAAAAATTGACTGTTAATCGTCCGTCCAAATATTGGGTTATTGTAGACGATACTAGTGATACGACGCTGTTAAGATTGGGCCTATAGTGAAGTTGGTTATCTCTGCTCATATGTACACTACATTGGGGTGTCGAGGCTGGCTGGCTACACGGATTTCCCAAGATCTTGGAAAAGGCAGATCGTGACGAGCGATCGATCGCGCTTACGTTTTCTCCTGCTAAAAGGGTTATACCAAACAACGGCTGACTCCGTTCCTCTCTATCTATCTAGCTATGGCTGCTCTGCGTCTACGGTCTAAAATGGATTTGAGTTTTGACTCGATAAGAGGATCGATCATTGACAGACAGGAAAAAATGAGGAAACAGTGGATCTCTAAGAATGCTCATAGGAAATGGCTGTTACGTTCTCTACATGGGCTACTGTACACTAGGATCTAAGCCTCGGGACCCCGACAGGTTGGTTCATCGATACACATTATGGTACAACAAAAAACTCTCGAAGACGTTCCGGTCTCTCCTTCTCTCTCTCTCTCTCCCTCGCTGGACCCTCACTGTGATTATACTCTGCCCCTCGGCGAGTGAACGAATGTTCATCGGCCTCTCGGCGGGTCGGAATGGTGGCATGGGTAAACGGAGATTCTGCCTGTTCGTCTGGTTCGTCTCCCCCTCCTCGTCCTCGACCTCCGTGTCCTCGTCTTCGATGCTCTCGCCGGGAGCCAATACGTGAGGGACCAAGTTAGTAAGTAAGCAGCTTGAGTTGTTCTGTAATGAAACATGACGGATGCATCAAATGGTCCTTCTCCGTCACCTCGGACAGATCGATCGCACATTTCCTTGGAAGTCCCGCTTACAGGAGCCGGTGCCTTTGAGCGGCGTGCCGGCGCTGAGGCTGCGGGCGCTGGTAGAGGCAGCAGTAGTGCTGGCATATCGTTGTTGTTGTTGTTGTTGTTGTGGTTGTAGGTGATGATTTTGATGTTGGGATGATGATTCGGACTGATGAAGGTACCATGTTTCCAGGAAGCGCACTCCGCTGCGGACAGTGGTCAGCTCCTGCTTCGTTTCCTCGAATGCTTTCTTCAAATCCACCACGTACTCCTCGACTGCTTCCTTGAGCTCTTCCTCCTCCAGAGCTATCGTTTCCTCCACGTACTCGGCGATCGCTTCCACCAGCGCTTCCATGTCTTGCTTCCGGCAGTCCTGCAATTTGAGCGCCTGGTGCTCCTCCTCGATCGCTATGCTCTCCTCCACGTAGTCGGCGATCGCCTCGATGCAGTCCTCCAAGTGCTGCTTCCGAAGCTGCGCCTCCATGAATTCCTCGCTGTCGTCCTCCAGTGCGATCGTCTCCTCCAACGCGATCGTCTCCTCTACGTACTCTGCAATCCTGATTATCAGCTCCTTGAGCTGCACTCCCTCTCCCTCCCCTTCCCCCTCCTCCTCCTCCTCCTCCTCCTCAATAGGTACCATATCCAGAACCTCGCACGATTCAAAATCCAATTGGTCCATTCGCTTCCTCTTCTTCTTCTGCTTCTTCCTCTCCTTAGCCCAAACTATCTCCTGCCAACCGAGAAGGATGCTGCTACTGGCCCTCGCTCGGAAGGGCTGAAGGTCCGTGACGCAACGCGAAGATTCAAACACGGACAGACAAACCGTTCCCGCGATCCTGCAGCACCGCGACTCACACACCGTCTCAATCTGCTGCAATGGGCGTCGACGATGATGAAATCCCGTCAGCACGTGGCCATAGTCACCGGACTCGAGTGCGCACGACGACGATCGGGGTCGTCGACTGTCACGGACGATAATTTGATGATATGTGGAGGAAAAAATACCACTGCAATGCCCTAGCCACTCCCCTTGTCTGGAGATCAGAGACAGTCCAGCCTCTTCCTGCGAAGCCGCCGCCGAGACGACGGGTCGGAGGTGAGAGAATGGGTTCCCAACCAATCAATCAATTCACTGACAAATCTCTCGTGCGATCTCGGACTTTCAAGCGAGCGAAGCGTAGCGTCGAGTCACTCGCTCACTCGATCGAAGAACCGACGACCTCAGACAAGTCTATCAATGCGGGGAGGGCCGGGGGCTCCTGCGGAGAGCTGGGTGGGGATGAGCGCATAGGATCCAGTTGCTCCATGGCCTTCTCATTAAAGGGCCGCGCACTCGCAGGAGCTCCAGCAAGCAAGCAAGGGTCCTGCCTGCCTGCCTGCATCCAAGCTCTCCCCCAAGGCCACAGTCGCCGCCGCTGCTGCTGCGAAACTCGTCGACGTCAGCTGCCTCCCGAAGCTCGGCTCCCTCGGCCCGTTGCCAGTCAGTGTGCGACCGGGGCCGGGCTCCCCCGCGGGGAAAAGCAGTCGTTGCGGCCACAGTGCACCGGATTCCTCCGTGCGCTCGAGATCATGCAGCTCGATCATCGCTTCCACGACGCTTCGGCATGCACTCCCTCCGTCCACGTCCTGACAGACAGCCTCCGTTTCCATCCGTCAACTCCCTCCGTTTCCGTCCGTCTGTCCTTCCTTCGACAGGAATCGCAGCCAAGTTGCGCTGCGAGGGGATGGATGGGACTCGAGAGCAGCAGCTGCTCATCTGTCCTCGCCTACTCGCTGCTCACTCACTCACTCACAGTGTTTGGCGCTCGACTCTGACCCTGACCCTGAGCTTCCCATCATGAGATTTCAATGCACGCATGCCACTCCGATGTCCAAGCTTCCCGCCCTCCTCCTCCTCCTCCTGCTCCTTCCGTGCTCGCGAATCGACGTTCGTTCGTTCGTCCTCCCGGGAGCTCATTGCACAGGCTCGAGCTCTGTCCAGTACTGCCGCGTACCGACTCCCGAGACGCTTCCCGATGCTCGAACGGATTTGACCCGCTCCCCTCCTCAGGTTTCAAGGTTCGAGCCTCTACGGGGCCATCCATCCATCGACTGCGGGTGAACGGATTGGATTTCATTATCGGCTCGGTCTGGGAAGACTATGGTAGATGGGACTGATTTTCGGCCTCTGTTGATCCGTGTCACGCTGCCATATCCTGCGGGAGAATTCGTCGCAGATAATCTGATCTTATGTCTGAAAAGTCCGTGCTCATTAATGGGTGCGCATTTAGTATGGCCTTCCGGAACCATTAAGGCGATGGAAGTCGTGGTTCCGATCTCTGTGGCGGTTGACGATGGAGATCAGTGGTTGAGTTCTCGAATCAGGTCCCTGTACCGGGATATCGGTGAGACTCGGGGTTCGTCATGACTGGCGACTGTGAAGGTCGGGTGCAGAACGCGGATAGCGTATGGGCATTCGACCTTCCATCCATCGAGCGGCACACAGTCCCCAGTCTCTGGCCAGGAGCCTGAAGAATCTGTGCTCATTGCAATCAGTTAGAGGCGACTCGAGTGCACTGCTCTCGAGCTCATCAATGCTTGCATGTACATGAGTATCTGGACGTACTTCGGATCCTCTGCTAGATATGGAGGGAATTATGTCCGGATCAGTGTGTTCAGCTCGACCATCTCCCTCTCCCGAAGAGTCCAGGACTGTCGCCAGGGTCGGTTGGACAGGTTGCCATCCCAACCTTCGTCATGGAAGATACAGGAGCTACTATACAACTGTGGCGCCATATAGGTCAAGCCCATGGATATTACCGTCCACTTCGATTGGTGCAAAGTACGACGAGATCATAAGAGTCGCGCGGTCATGCTTTCCAAGCTTGCACTTTGTACAAGGTGGCGTCACTGGCATCAGTGCTCGTTTGTCCGTCTAGATCAGACTATTGTGGGGAACGACATTGTCAGCGGATTGGACCGGCACAGTTCCTTCTCCTTTTTTACTAGGTCAGCTCCATTTGCTTTTCTACATCACTACATGGCAAAGGAAGTCTCCTAGTTCGTCTTTTAGCCTGTGTCTGATGGGACTCGGTTGAGGTGCTTACAACCATTTAGGCTGAATTGAGACCACTTGGGACGGCTGTGTAATGTAGTCTTGTCTTGGATCTACACTTCTGACGAGATCACATGACATCCACAATTACACACGCATGGCTCTTGTCCAAATCATTCGCCCAATTTTAGCTCTGGAATAATTTATTCCAAAGCTAAAATGTGCTTAAATTTTTGAACTGCTCACGCTCGTTTCTTGCATCAATTTCAATTTATAACTTAGGATGAAAATGAAGCGTTACAAAAATATTAAGAAAGAGCTACTTTCTCTTCATGTCAGGTACAGTATATGAACTTGTATCATCAGCGCACTCAAATTCACAGAGTGTTAATATGGTTGATTTAGGCACAACAACAGAAAGGGAGGGGAAAAATACTGCTTAGTGAATTTTCTAATAACTTGGCTCTCGTAGAGAATCTAAGAAGGAAAGGGATGTAGGGATGTAGCACATTGTGCGCAACAAGTGCTAATCAGAGACAAATTCTAAGATCTTTGCCAGAAGTTTGTCTCCGTTCGTATTTTGTCGTTCTATGGGTGATCAGTGATGGACGGGTTTAGCTGCACAAACTTATACATAGCCCCTATATAGGGCCTTCATAGACCCAGGCAGGTGTCATCCTGCAGTGACCAGTGACGGAAGTTCTTCTTTTCGCTGCGACTCTCCTCTTTTGGACCAAAGATGGAAGATTGTGCGGGCAGGCTAACCGGGCAGGTTTTTCATTGGCACTCAATTTTCCGGTGGAGCATCAAAGTGATTGAATTAGATCGCTCCGCTTTCCGGCAGACGGATCTAACGATGGACTATAAGAACACTTTGCGGGGAGGGTCGGCGGACCCGGCAACCATGTAGATGGGATGCCCTCAACCGGAATGAATGACTCATCTGAAAATGGCAGGAATGGGCAAACTATCTTCCTCAGTATACTGGTATAGAACAAATTTATGCACTGAAGAGGACGATATTTGATTCGACTCCAGCAACATCAAGACCGGCTGATGGTCAAACCAAAGCAACTCGCATATACAAGAGACGATTCTTGAAGTGTTGTACTTAAAGCTACAAAAGAAAAAACGCACTTGAGATTCTTGGTTAAGTCCGTAACACTCATGATCAGTAAGTCATGAATTGAGGGTATCTTCTGTAAGAAGATTTTCATTGCCAAGAAGAACTTGCAAAGCCCATAATTTATGAGCATACGAGGAGTTTGTAGAACTGGTTATTTGAGAGGTCAAAAGTTTGGACCTCAGATGGATCAGATCATTCCGAGTGAAATTTACAAGAGAAAAAATATGAGATTCATGCCCTACACGTATTACTGGGCTAGTCACACTCTGTCTAGAAAACTGGTAATAAGGAGGCGTGCAGAATTTAATATCTTGACGGGTCCTGTCTATCTGGTTACATTCATTTCAGTTTCAGTATGATCTACAGCAGAGTATTAATTATGTCACAGGTAAAGTCCAACATTACGGTACATGGAGACCTGACAACAACGTTCCAAATCTGATTAAAATTCTTCTTCTTTGATAATCTTTGAGGGCTCTTGCTCAATTTCTGAACGGAAGGGAGATATGTCGGTGAACCAGACTCTTACTAAAAGGATGCCTGAGACGTGTTTGAGCTTAGTCTATTCTTATGTATGGATATAAGAGAGAGTGACAATCTTTTAAATTCCTGACACTTTTTCTGATCTATGGTAACATTTATACAAACTGTACCCGTTGATATGAACCTGCTATGACCTGAAGACCATAGACTCCTCGCCCTGGCTGAGCAAGTGCTACTTCACGTCTCTCAAGAGTATAGATCATCTATTAAATTCCAAAGTACCGAGTGTTGAATCTAAATTATTGATTCCAATTTCGGGTATATGAGCGTTTCAAGCGTACACGGAATCGGATGTAACAAGTTCAGATATTTACCTCGACCTCATATGGGCAACAGATCTTGCTCCTTTAAATGAATGGAGGGTAAATACATTTCCTTCACACGAAGACGGAGAGAAGAGCACCTACAAGTGATATGAAAATGTGACATATTAAGGAGTTTTACCAAGCTATGCATGTTTCCTTTGTCAGTTGTCAGGTTCAGTGATCAAGTTACATTGCGATACAAAGCAGAATCGCAATCGAAGTTTGATCCAAATCTATGAAAAAATTCAAACATCAATTAAAATTGGTCGGAACATACAGTAAGTTTCTTCATCTGACAGCAGTTAATACAAAATGAGCTATATGTTTCACAATTACATCTCACATCTCTGCGTTTATAAACACACAGAAATAGGCGGGGGATATTGTTTGAACAAGAAATGACTTTTTATGGAGAAGGTAGTCCCGATTCCTTTTCTTTGTATCTCTTATCATTGAGTTAGATTTGTAGAGTATGTTTCTCTCCCTTTCATGTGACCCTATATTTTTGCTTTCGACCTGTGTGCCACCATGTAGATTGACTATCTCCTAACTTACAGCTTCCATGAACCAAACTGGTACTAAAAACCACGCTGACATCTCACAATACAAAAAGATTCAAAATTAGCCTCCAAGGCTTCAAATTCATAATTCAAATAAGTCTGAGACGGTAGAAAAATCCAAGTGTACAGAAAAATTAATGTGTAGTGCACGATGTAGCTCTATTCCAATTTTGTTCCGATACAAAAACTCTAAAGCTGCGAACTGTCAACTGAAAGCACAGTCAAACTTCCAGAAAGTGATGAGTGCGTCCTAAAGCCACTGCATACATGATCTGCAAAACTTTCGCTACAGCTCATCATCCTCAGTAGACTGAGTATGACTTTGTGGAATATAAACAGCATAAATTGGAGTTGTTCTCTCTCATTTGCAATTGCAAGGGTTGCATGAGGACTTGTCATCGCACTTGCATCCTTCGTTGGCACCATAAAAGCTGTATCAGAAAAAGAAAAATTATAATCAGATACTGATCTACCGTCCCAGAATCCAAGAACGGTGATTTTATAAATACGTTAAGGATAACCATACGTTAAGGATCCAATTCAGACTGACATCAGCAGATTTCGAGTTCCAGAATGAAGCAACTACACTACCATGATTACTGAAGCAAAAGCATAGCGATCTGAAACACCGATTCAAAATACATATAATTATCCGCCTCCTCTTCGAAAGTAGGACAAGTACACCAACTACAAGGAAGAAATGAGGAGAAAAAACGGGATG